TAAGAACAGTCTCATCTCTCCAGGCCGATCACTGTGGTATTGGGACGCAGCTCAAACTCCCACTTCCTAGTCTCCTTATCTTTCCTCGCAGTTTTAAAGAAACCTAGAGCTCCCTGCGAGATCCAAGTGCTTGACTCTCATTCTTTTTCTGCTTTCCCTTGTTCTGAACTCTCCTCAGGACCCCACCCCAGATCCTAGCACCCAGAAGGAGGTGTAGAGAAGCCTGAGAGCCAGCCAACGCTATGGAGGGACCATATATAGTAAGAAGGTCCATCTTCACTATCAATTTGAATAGGTTTAGAATCGCCTAGGTACAGAGCTACATCTCCAGCATGCTGCGAGTAGTTCTAGGGAGAATTAACTGAGAGTCTAGACTGTGTTTGAAAGAGGTGGCTCCCTCCAGTGGGCTAGGATAGAAGTGGACAAAGAAGAAAGCTAGTTACAAGCATTCGCCTCTCTCCTGTGACCCAGTGTGACTGTTGTGTTCCCCCATGGCAGACTGAACTCTCTGAACCCAAGAGCTAAAAACCTCCCTCAGTCCTTTAAGTTGCTTTATTCAACACAGGTATACAAAAATAACTGATACAGAAAACTGGCCAGAGAAGGCAGGATACTGCTGCGACTAGCCCTGACTGTGGTTCTTAGGCCTTTGACTGGTGTCTGGACAGATGGTGTAGGAGTTTTGACCTAGGGACTTTATATGCTATAGCTGTTTATGCTGTAGCTCAAAGGCTATCCAAAGAACTAGTAAGGCATCCAGGTGAGAACTCAAGACTAGAACACCAATAGAAATTCGACAGAAGGATGTGCTCATCAAATTTCAGGATGCTGTTGGGAACTGACCAGAGACCATCCATGGGATATTCTGCAAGAGAATTTCTCTATACCCAGAAGTACTATGTGAGGCTGGGCTTATAGTGGTGGCTAAATTAACCATGTGTAATAAATTTTAAGACAGCAAAGAATTTGCACAGTGGCTTGGTTATTGCTGGGGGCTTTTAGACAGATTTACACTGAGAATCAAGAACTAAAAGCAGAGCAGGTGATTCAAAAACCATGCAGCCCGGCCAGAAAGGGAGCAATCAGAAAGCCATGGCTGAGGAGGGTGTTCTTGTTAAAGGGATTAATGCCATTAAAGGGAAGCCAACCGCTTCATCCTAGGACAACAGAAAATTGGCCAGACCCTATCCATCAAAGGCTCTAGAAGGAGAAATGAGCCAAGTCAATCCTGTCCCTTTTAAGTGTCCTGTCCTTTATTGTGTCACAGTTATGAGAAAAGTCAACACTGCAGGACTGGCGGGGCCTCTGCCTGTGCCTCTGGGTAGCAGAGAGACATCTCCACCTCTCAGATGAGAGACCAGAATGATGCACAGGAGTGCCTGAGTGAAAGGCCGTGCATGCACAGAGACAAGTATGGCTGTGCGTCTGCAGAAGCATGCACACATGTGGAGAAGTGTGAATGTGTGTGTGTGTACTAAAACACGTGGGTGTGGGAATGTGTGTTTAAGTATGAGTACCTGAGTATATTGGTATGAGTGAACATTCACACATGGGCGTGTGATTGTTTTCTCATGTGTATCCTTTATGTTCGTAAGGGTTTGAGTACACGATTATATGTGTGTGCATGGGTCTGAGAGCAACCTGGGTGTGTAGGCACACCGTAGGTGCATGGAGTGTGCTGTCTGTGCAGGGCAGTTAGTCTGGTTTGGGAAAAGCACTTATTTAAATAGCACAGTGGATCCCTGATGACTTTGGATGCTAAGGGATAAAACATTTGCAATTGATGTCTGATGGCCAGCCTGCAGAAAATAAAGAAAAATGTCAAGAGAGTCAAGAGAGAGAACTCTAGGACCACAGGTCCAGGATGATATCATGGGATGCAGCAGAGGATGCAACCCCCATGCCTGCCTGTCTCAGAAACCTCCACAAGGAACAGTCACTACAGACTGCAGACACGGGGCATAGAACAAGCCAATGGAAGCAGCCATCAACACTTCCCCAGAGGAAAACCTTCCCCAAAACTATAACTGTGCTGACCCGTCTCCATTGTTAACATAACAGAATTTAAGGTCACCATAGAAATGGACTTCTGGGCACACTGATGATTATATTTCCACAAAGACTTCACAGAGGAGAAAGGCCCCCCCTAAGGGTCGGCAGCACAAGCACTATTCTATGGGCCGGGATTCCAGAACAAATAAAAAGGAGGAAGTGAACCAAGCCTGCGTGCCTCACTCTCTGCTTTCTGACAGCGGATGCGATGTCATCAACCACCTCAGCCCCTTGTCACCGTGACTGCCCCATCATGAAGGACTGCACCCTCAAACTGTAAGCCAACATAAATCCTTCCTTCGGGTTACTTTAATTGGATGTTTCGTCCCAGGAAGAGAGACAGAGAACCTAACACGATCATTGAAAACCTTCTGAAAGAGAAAGCACGTGTTAGAACATGCAGAAGTGACCCACACCACGATGCAAAAAGACACAGAATGGTACGCATGTGGTTTCAGCAGGAGCCACCCCAAGAAGTTGGTGGGACAAGAGTGTACTAGCTGCTTTATAGAAAAGTGACTAGATATGTGACTGTCATATTGTAATTAATCAACAGTAAGAAAATGGGCATAAATTTCTCCAGTACTGAGAAAGTGATTTGGAGCCCAACTGCCGCGTACAGCGCCCCCGTGTCTGCACTCTGTGCGCTGGCACCCAGTTACCGAGCTTCGGGCAAGGGGCTGGAGGTTAAAATACACAAATACACACAGACAGAAAGAGAGACAGCAACACGGGTCATCCTTGAATTCCCCAAGAATGCCCCCTTAATTATATTCAGGGGCAGATTATTATAGAGATAGACACGCCCCAGCCAAACCCACCAGAAACCACTCTCCTGCCATCAGGAACTCCTGAAGGTCTCGTGCTCAGAGCAGCTGTAGGCACTCAGATCAGGGAATTACAAGAAATTCAGGATCTGGCGTCTCACTGCTCCCAACACACAACAGTTTGTATAAATGAAATTCAAACACCTCAAAGCTGCCTAGTAGGAAGAAAGTCACTGTGACCTGGGACACAGGACATCCCCAGAGGAAAGAGAAAACCATTCATAAACACTGTAGGCCTCGCCATGCACGAGCCCCTGCTACATGTGCCATGGGAAATGCAAGCATGAGCGGACACTGCAGTGTGGTACAGTGAGTCCATCACAGGGATGCCAGATGCATAAACCCACCCACTCATCAACCATGTCTCCACCCTGCACGCTTCCTTCTAAGGAACTGTGGTGAGGCTGCATCATAGACACCCCTGATCTTCCATGCCTCCTGGTGCCAACGAAGCCAGGAAAGACAGACAAGAACTAGGACAGAAATGCACAGATGACTAGAGAAGTTACTTTATTTGGCACATGGGTAAAAGAAGGATCCTGGAGCCAGGACATCCGTAGAGAATGGCAGAGGGAAAGCTGTGTTCTCTCCCAAGTTCCAGGGCGAGCTATGTGTGCTTCCAACCTATTTCAGGTGCAGAGCCACCGCCACAGAGGGAGAGGAATAGATGTGTCCCATCTGCACTGGCAGAAGCTGGTTTGGAGACACTGGTCAGCAGCAGGAGGGTCTGCAGACCAGGGTGGGGCAGGAGGGCTGGCAGCACCCGGATGATTGACAGGAGGAGGTCACACAGACAGGCCGGCAGCTCACAGGCACACACACAGAGGACTGGCAGGAGGGAGTCATGCACACAGTGGGTCTGCAGCTCACGGGCACACAGCAGGCCGCCTGGTATCTCACAGGAATGCAGATAACAGGCCTGCAGCAGGATGACTGGCAGGGGCTGGACACACAGCAGGAGGGCTGGCAGGGGCTGGACACACAGCAGGTGGGCTGGCAGCCTGAGGAGCAGCTGGTGTGGCACATGGTGGAGGCTGGCTGGTCTGGAGGAGGGTGGGAATGACTGGAGCTCCTGCCCAGGGTGGCTTTTATACCCAGCCCAGTGTCCCAGAACACCCAGAATGCATCTGGTCTTCCTTGTTTGCTTCCTCTGGCCTCCCAGGTTGGCTTTGCTGTTGTCCATGCTCTTGCTTGCCCAGCTCCATGACTAATGCAGCTCTCTGGCTGCTGCTACATTAAGCTCCCAAGCCATCCTCTCCCGGTACTGTGTGGATTTGTCAATGCCCCGTGAATTCCTGATTTCCTTACATGGGCTTCTAGAAGTCCAGGAGTTCAGATAACTTCCCTGTCGGACAACAGTCCTGCCCTGTGGGATGACAGTTCTCCTACAACCACAGAGATTGTTCTTCTCCTGTGGTCTAGAAGGCTGAATATAATGAGTGTCCTCATCCATCCGTGTCCTGGGTGAAGGTAGATTGGACCAGCCACACCCTTGGAAAGCAGGTAAAGTCAATATAGGTTCACAGGGAGCACAGTGGGTCCTCCTTTTGATGTGTTTAGCAGTGAGCCACAAGTACCATCAGGAAAGGTGGGATCTTGAGTGGAGGCTGGGTGGATTTTCCACATTTGTACCCCCACAGAGTTTAAAACCAGATCTACACAAGCTCAAAATAACCAACTAGCTGGCTCTCTGCTTGAACAGAACTCGTAGTCACAAGAAGATAATAGAACCCAGAGTCTCCAAATGTATTTCATAAGTAACCAGATATAAGAGATTTTGTGATATAAATCACCTTCATAAGTAAAAGCAACCAGCAGAAAGAATCCGGCATGATCTCATTACAGAGACGGGCAGTGACCACAGCAGCTGTTCTAAGCCCAAAGATCAAAGAAAAATCTTATCTTCATGAGTGAATAGGTAGAGACTCCCAGGAGGGACGTGGAATTAATCAAACAAAGGAAGTTCTAAATCTGAGATGTACAATAGCTGAAATTTAAATACACACTGGACAAACCCGATAGCAGATGCAAGAAGGAAGAAATATCATTCCATCAAACAGAAATTATTCCATCAAAAACAGATGCGTTTAAAAAGAAGAAGAATATTTAAGTGTTGGTGAGATGGCACAGCGAGAAAAGGCACACGAGCCCAACTCTGATGACCTGAGCTCAATCCTGAACCAATGTGGTAGAGAGGACAGACAGAGACAAGTTGTTCTCCCTCCCCCGCCCCTCACACACACACAGTGTTGGGTCCTATCCTCAGAAGACAGCACCATCCATCAGAAGTGCGGATGGAGAAAGGGAAGGAAGGATGAGACCGTGGGGGAAACACAGAGGCAGACAGAGACTGTACAAGAGAGATGCGGAGGGTAGGACCAGAAAGCTTACAGGAAGGAAGATACTGACAAGTGGTGTATCTGATAAAGTTAATAACTAGAATGTGGAAAGAATTATTACAGCAAAAGGACAAGCCAGCACCAAGCAGGCCAAGGACTGAACTCTAATTTCTCCAGGGAAGACACACGAATGGCCAAGTTCATTAAAGAGAAGCTATCACAGTGAGATGCACCGTGTCCCACTTTGGGGGCTGGTAGCAGTGTTTAAAAAGGAAGGCAAGTATTAGCATGTGTGGGGAGTTTGGAGCCCATCTGCATTCCCGGTGGGGTGGAGGGTAGAACAGATACCAGATCTCCAGGGCACATTGGAGATTCCTCAAAAGGGACACAGTTACTGTATGAACCAACAGACACACCCCTGGGAAGTAAAGGGCACCCTAAAGTTCTTTTACAGGGTCTTGCTCTATTTCCTAGCACAGACACAGGGTCAGCCTTTGGCTTTGGAGGTGACATTTGGCCCTAACCACACGATGCTCTTCTTAGAAAGATATTTGACCTGAATCTTCACCCACCAAGAGTATCTGCACATCCAAGCCTTAGTTGGTACCCAGTGTTCAGACCTCTAAACCTGTAGGAATGCTCCACCTTGGAACCACAACACTCTACTCATATACTTGTTGCTATCTCATGAGTCAAAATGTGTTTGGTCTATCTCTAAGGGTCTTCATAATCTCAACAGTTCTAACATGATTCAGAGGCGTTTGTTAGGTCTCCTCTGACTCAAGGCAGCTCTCATTGTGAGCTCTGAAAAGTAAGTAAATAAATAAGTCACATGTTTATAGTATACACAGACACAGTGAGCATTCACATTGCAGAAGGGGAGGATGATGAGGAAAGACGACACCAAAGTAAGACTGGACACCAGCAGAGTACATATTAAACACCACAGCTCCATATCAGGCATCTTGGGCTCATGATGACATCATCTAGGCTCCAACAAGCTTGGCAACCCTGCCCCCTAGCTCTGATGCCTGCTGCACACACAGCCTCTGTCTCTCTCAGGTCAGCCCCCACCCTGGGTCTGTACATTTCTCCTTAGCAGGCACTCCATGTTCCTGGCTTCTCTGCCGTCTTGGGGTCTCCACTGTAACTAAAGCTTCACCTTTGCAGTGCCGAGAATGCTCAGGGCAAGCCTGTTACATATTGCCTGGGCCCACAGGCTTTGCTCTAGAACCTTGGTGCGAGCTGTAATGCCGACTCATTCTTGTATCTTGCATGCCTCCACATCCAGACTCTGCAAAACCACCCTCCTTTTAGATGAAGGGTATTTTTTTTTACACATTTTATTTATTTATTCTTATGTTTATGGGTGTTTTTGCTCAATTTTCAGTAGAAAGCCTCCTGCACCTGAGAACACAATCAAACTCCAACATCCCTTCTAAACAACCTCCTTCCTCTTACTGTATGTCAGTCAACCTGGGTCCTCATGCTGTAGGTAGAAGTAGGCATTATTTTCAGAGTGAATCCCTGAAGCCCCTGCTGTGTCATCTTCATATCAGCCTGTCCCCCTTTCAACCCCCTCCCCCCCCCACAGTCCTGGGAGCACAGTGACAACTCCCCTGCCCTGCCCTAAGCAGCTCTACCATGCCTTCAGCTCTAGCCCCGCCCAGTAGAAATCATTCCTACTGGGGTGATGGGTGTCCTGGCTCGCCACCTCTCCCCCGCCACGCAAATACGAACATACGAACACAGGATGGAAGTACCCATGTTCTGGTGTCTGAGCTGCCTGACAGACTCTTCTACAAGCTCTTGTGTGTGTCTCTGTTTCCCTCATCTAGGAATAATGAAATCCTCTCCCTCTCAAGGTCGCAGGGCTTAGTGAGTTGATATTTATAGACTAACTTGGAATAATTCCTAGATCAAAGCAAGAACGATTAACACTAGTATTGTTGGGGCTGGAGAAATGGTTCAGCGGTTAAGAGCACTGGTTGTTCTTCCAGAGGTCCTGAGTTCAATTCCCAGCAACCACATGGTGGCTCACAACCATCTGTAATGAGGTCTGGTGCCCTCTTCTGGCCTGCAGACATACACACAGGCAGAATATTGTATATATAACAAATAAATAAATAAATATTTAAAAAACAAAAACAAAAAACAAAAACGTGCTGATGACTCAATCAAGGGCTGAAGCAGGGAACCAGAGCTAGGGGCCTCAAGAGGTGGCCATGGCAGACAACAGGGAACTGACCCTCCCTGGAGAGGAAATGATGCCTGCCCTGCTCTATCTGAAAGTTCTATGGGCAGAGCTACAGGTCATGGCCACTTGATTGATGGATGTCCTTACATCATCATCAACATCAACAAGGAACTGCAGCTAGGACAATACAAACATAAACAAACCCTTGAGAGATATATAAGTGGTACCCACCTTCCCACCTCACTCACTCATTCAACACCTTCTCACCTCACCCTCAACCCTCCACTCAGCCTCCACCATGTCCATTTGCTCTGAGCCCCGCACTGAGTCCTCCTGGCAGATCGAGGACTGTCCAGAGAGCTGCTGTGAGCCTAGCTGCTGTGCCCCCAGCTGTTGCCAGCCCAGCTGCTGTGTCCCCAGCTGCTGCCAGCCCAGCTGTTGTGTCCCCAGCTGCTGTGTCCCCAGCTGCTGCCAGCCCAGCTGTTGTGTCCCCAGCTGCTGTGTCCCCAGCTGCTGCCAGCCCAGCTGTTGTGTCCCCAGCTGCTGTGTCCCCAGCTGCTGCCAGCCCAGCTGCTGTGCCCCAGCCCCCTGCCTGACCCTCATCTGCACCCCAGTGAACTCTGGGTCCGGCCCTTGCTGCCAATCTGCCTGCAGCAGCTGCTGCACACCCTCATGCTGCCAGCAGTCTAGCTGCCAGCCCTCATGCTGCACCTGCTCTCCTTGCCAACAGTCCTGCTGTGTGCCTGTCTGCTGCAAGCCTGTCTGCTGCACACCCATCTGTTCTGGCTCCTCATGCTGCCAGCAGTCTAGCTGCCAGCCAGCTTGCTGCACCTGTTCTCCTTGCCAGCCATCCTGTGTGACACTGTGCTGCAAGCCTGTCTGCTGCACACCCATCTGCTCTGGATCCTCCTCATGTTGCCAGCCCTCATGCTGTCAATCCTCCTGCTGCAAGCCCTGCTCCAGCGTGTCCCTGATCTGCCGCCCTGTGTGCAGACCCGCCTGCTGTGTGCCCAGCTCCTCCTGCTGTGCCTCCTCCTGCCAGCCCAGCTGCTGCAAGCCCTGCTCCAGCATGTCCCTGATCTGCAGTCCTGCATGCTCCCGCCAAGCCTGCTGTGGCCTCTCCTTGGGCCAGAAGTCCAGTTGCTGATGGGTCCATTTCCTGTGGATCCGTCCCCTCTTCCCCTAGTCCCTGGACTGCCTCAGATGCAAGCCCTGCCTAAGCTTGAGTATCATTCACCAAACAACAGAGGATCCTGTCTTGCTCTCAGTCATTACCCGGCCTGAGATCCTGGTCACAAGCCTAGGATTCCTGCTCCACAGTCCAGGGGTTAGAGGACTTCTCTGTGGGAAATTATCAGGTGCCCTCTCACTGGAAGGCTCCTCAGAACCCTAATAAACACTTTCCTTGACCTTAGCCATGCCTCCTTCTTCCTCTCTGAACTCGAGTGGAACCAGTGTCAAGTCCCAATGGGGGAACAGGAAGCAGGGCAGCGGGGCCCTCCACCTTCCCCAGCTTGTCCTGGGCCATCACTCTCACACCTATGATAGAGGGTCCTGATCATAGGCAGCCCCTATCTACCCCTCTGGGTCAGCCTCTTTCCCAGGAGTCATCTGGCAAGGACAAGCAGACCCTCAGGGTGGGTGGACGTATGTCTGGTGCCAAAGGTCTGGTACCAGCAATCTAGCTGCCAGCCAGCCTGCTGTGTGCCTGTCCGCCACAAGCCTGTCTCTGGAGGGACCAACAGAGGCAGCTGCTAAGAACCTGGTCCCTCGGAAGAGAGAGCGGGCTCAGTCCCTCACAAGAGAAAGCAGACAACTCACCCTGTACTAGGGGAACTCAGAGCCCAGGGGCCAGCATGGGCCCTCAAATCTCCCCACACTCCGTAGGCTACCTCCTCAGCTTAGAACGCAAATAACCCATAGGCTTTCAACACGGAATAAGCAGAGCTGGCTGTTTCTCCCACATGAACTCCCTCCAGGCCCAGCAGCTGTCTCCCCTCCATTGCTCTCCATGCTGCCGTGTCTGCCCCCACAAGAGGCCTCCAGGGCACACGCACCCACCTGCCACCTCCTGTTCTGTCTCTCGCTTTTCAGGCACAGCCTTCATCCAGGTTACTGCAACCTGCCAACTCTGCAGTCTCTCCTCTAGCTCCTCTTCAGGGAGAAGTCACACTCTCCTGGAGCTGTGAGCCTGGAGGCCAAGCCAGGTATTCTACCTTCCATCGCCAAAGTCAGAGAGAGAGGCAGCCAGAAGCTCCAGCAGCTACGGTGCTCGGCCTGCTGTCCCGACTGACTCCAGGCTGTGGAGCAGCCGCGTGCAGGCTGGACCTTTCCCTGGATCCCCTCCACATCACCAGGAGCGTTTGGCGCCATAGTGAGTGTCAACACTAAAGCAGGAGGATTCTCCATCTTGTGTACATCCCTGTGAACCAGCCAGAGTGGATTGGGAACCCATGAGCATGTGCGCCTATTAAAACCATATCACAAAACCTGGCCCAAGAGCTCGTCCAACACACCAGACCGAGGAAAGGTGCTACGCCCTCACGTCACTCCATGGGGAGGAGAACATGAGGTAACTAGTCCTGGCCTTTCATCTAATCACTCCACGTGTGTCAAGGGACATATAGGAGAATGCCCACCTGGGGCTTCAGTTCCTTGGTCCCCACTGCTGATGTGACCCATCCAAATTGCCATCTGTCCACCCATCTTTTTCTTGCCTGGCCCTGACCCTGAATCTCAGCAACATGTGTCGGGGTTCACCACAGCTACCACTAGAAGCTAACACAACCAGCCATGGCCAGTTCTGCAGGACTTTGCCTTCACACCACCCAGCTTTCAGAGGAGGGCTCTGAGAGGACCCTAAACAATGAAAAGATAAAGACCTGTGCCTCTCCCTCCTTCCCTTCCTCCCTCCCCAGGAGGCAGAGGCCTCCTGCCTCTGGGAGACTTGAGCTCACAAGACCACAACAGTCCTCGAAAGGACTCTAGTTGGCCCAGGCATAATAAACACAGCACTGGCAGGCCTTGCCCTTCCCCCCCTCCCTTGCAAACTGTAGATGACATCCCTAAAGCTTCCCTTATTGGGACACTTTCTTATTCCAGACTCATTCCTGGGGCTGTCAAAGTACTGAATGCCAGCAATCCAAAGCCCCCTTTTGGCTACCCTAATTAACAAGCCCAATTAAAACATCCCGCCGCATCCTAGCCCATTCTAACACAGACCTCCCCTTTTCCCTCCTAAAAATTTACCACACCTGCTAGGGCATTTGCTGCTGTTTTTCTGACTCAGTCAGAAGTCGGTCTCTTTTCTTCCCTGCTTAATAAAGGATCTCTCTGTGAAAAGAGGTGTTTGAGTGTGGTCTGTGCCTAATCAGGGTCCAGGAGGGAGCACCCCACTATGTGCCGGCCCCTTCAATCCTGATTCCTCGTCTAGGCTATCCTATTACCCACATCTGAGTTAACAGTGGCTGCCCTGCCCTGATAACCACCTGAGTACCACTGTGAGAGTTGGGCTGCCTACACTGGAGGAAAGTGCCCCCAGGGAGGGCCTTGGTGCCCTCAGGGAGGACCTTAGTGCCCCCAGGGAGGTTCTTAGTGCACCAGGGAGGACCCTAGTGCCCCCAGGGAGGACCTTAGTGCCTCCAAGGAGGATCTTAGTGCCCCCAGGGAGGATCTTAGTGCCCCCAGGGAGGATCTTAGTGCCCCCAGGGAGGTTCTTAGTGCACCAGGGAGGATCTTAGTGCCCCCAGGAAGGACCTTAGTGCCCCAGGGAGGACCTTAGTGACCCCAGGGAAGAACTTAGTGCCACAAGGGAGGACCTTGGTGCCCCCAGGGAGGATCTTAGTGCTCCAGAGAGGATGTTAGTGCCCCAGGGAGGAGCTCACTGTCCTAGGGAGGAGCTCACTGCCCCAGTGAGGACCGTAGGGCCCCAGGAGACACTCAGTGCCCCTGTGTATACCTGACCTCTAGGTGGCTTTCCCCTCTCCTCCTCTCAGGCCAGGCAGTCTGAGCAAGCTGTAAACACTGTCACAAAGATTCAATCACTCTGTCAAACTCCAGCCATAAACAAACTCATAAAGCCTGCAGGTCCTTGTTTTAGTGGGACCTCACTGTTGAGAGAAAGTGCTTGTGGAAATAACTTGGTCTGTGTGTGGGGTGTGTGGAGTACTTCACAGAAAGACGGGAACTTTGGGGGGGAGGGGCTGACATGGGAAAGACGGCCTCACCCAGAGATTAGAGTTTCTCCATCCTCCAAGAAACTCAGAATGGCTAGAAAGATGGCTCGTCGATCAAATGCTTCCCTTTGGAGAGTGAAGACCCGAGTTTGATTAGCCAGCCTAGACTGCTTAGTGAGCTCCAGCCTGATCAGAGCCCCTGGGTGTGAAAGCAGAGACTGTCCTCTGGCACGTGCATGCACACACACACCTTCAAACAGCTAATAAATCCAAACTGCCTAGTGAGATAATGTGTGTTTCTCTGCAGACAGGTCAGACACGGATGTCAGAAACAAGAAACAAGCGGTGTTTACTAAGGGCCAGGATGCTTGTGACCTCCACGTTTGCTGTATTTGCCTTCCTGTTTGTCCCTAAATCTAAGCAGTGTGCTTCAAATACCACCCTAAAATTTCATTTACAAATGGAAGAGAAGAGAAAATAAGCCAGTTTGTGTGTTGCTTGAGTGAGTGTTAGGTTTTGCTGGGTCTTTAGACCCTGTACACTGCAGGAAGGTAACAGAAATCTTCAGACTGTGTTCTGGGGAGAGGCTCAGTGGGTAAGGTGATTTACTGTGCAAACATGAGGACCTGAGTTCAATCCCCACAACCCATGGTTTTAAAATCCTGGCACTGGGAAGGTGAGGCCAGTCAGATCATTAGGGCTCCCCAGCCAGCCAACCAGATTCAACCGGTGAGCAATAGGCCAAAGAGAGACCCTGCATTAAAAAAAAACAAACAAAATAAAGTGGATGTCATGTGAGGAGCAACAACTAAGGTGGTCCTCTGGCCTCGACACACACACACACTTACACAACACACACACAAACACAGATACACACACACGCTCGTGCATGCACTGTGCACACACACACGAACACAGACATACACACAAAGAAAGCCATAGGATCACATATACAACTCTGTAGACACCGCAGCAGACTCTCTGGGGACACTCACAATGCAATGTCTCTGTCTAAATCCTTCGTACATGCTTAACTGCACTCTGGCCCATCCTGAAGCGCTTTTCTGTGTCGGTGTTGGGAATCAGGCTCTACTCAGCTGGAGGTCTCTAAAATGGAAGAGAACGAGTTGACAGCTGTGGCTGAGCTGGCCCCATGGTCTCAGAGGCATCACAAGTTCCTAAATTCAAACTCTGAGGTGAGAAGCTTGTACCTCACAGGCACATGGTGATGAAGGGCTTCTTACCTCATTCATAGTTGCCAGGGAGGGGGAAGGGAGAGATGGAAGGAAAGACACAGATAGATAAGGAACAACACAACCCTTCAAAGGCTTCTCAGTGCCCACCTTGTGCCCCATTGCTGGCACCCTTCACCAGCACCCTCTGCTGGGAACCACACCTCTTTGGAGGGACATTTCATATTGAAACTATAGTAGTCATGACGACAGAACCTTGGCAGGACCACGGCTCATGCAAAGAGGTTCTCCACACACACCTCACACAGAACACCATCAGCTCAGGGACTTTCTACCCCAACCTGATTGACTGGTTTCCTCTACATCCCCAATGTGTGGTGCATGGCAAGTTACAGAGTCCCCCAGTTTCCTGTCCTGCTGCGGGCTTGTCTAGAGTTCCAGCACCCCATGAAGGAGGTCCTTCTGAGAATACCTGCACTCTCCCTTCTGAGATAGACTGTGACCACTGAGGCCTGTTCCACCCATAGTTCCTCCCGAGGCCCCCGGACAGAACTCTGGGGCTGATGCTGAGGGACTGTGCTGTGGTGAAAATGAGCCCTCAAGAATGAGACAGAAGCACAGGGGCCCCACAAGTTCAAGGGCATCCAGGCACCAGGCTCCGGCCTCAGCCTTAACGCATATCAAAGGTCATCAAAGCCAGAGCAAGGAGTGCTCCAGTCACTAGCAAAAGGAACTGCTGCTTAGGCACCCCAGTCCTGCCTCAGACCTGTCGCCACCAGAGCAAGGTGTAGCAGAGGACTAGCCATAAGCTACCGAGTCCCCAGGATGAGTCTCTCCATCCAGGCCAAAATGAGAGAAGGAAAGCCCACCTCAGTCATTAGGGTCAGTTCCACCTTCGCTGGCAAGGACTTGATGGCAAACTTCAAAGAGAAAGGGAACAGACATGGCCAGCTTGGTGCACTCAAATGTTAGAGGACTTTCCAGCAACACAGATCTGACCACCCTATCAATGGAGCCCAACCCCAGTCCCTGACCACTGCCATCTCCTACCCAGATCCCCTCCCCATCAGTAGAGCTGGCCAAGGTGTCTGGCTTAGCACAACACACAGCCAGGGCATTTACAAGCAAGGTGGCATCTTCCGGCTAATGCCGGAAGGGCTCTCCAGGAACCAGTTCCAAACACCAACAAGGAAAGAATCGCTGTGAAGGACTGCCTGCACCAACAACACTCTGTGTGCAGGGTATAAAAGCTGACAGCCAGCCCTTCACACTCACACACTCACTTACTCACACACTCTCTCACCCACAGCTCTTACCAGACCTGCCCCCATGGCTGCCTCCACCATGTCTGTCTGCTCTGATGCTTGCACCAACTCCTCCTGGCAGGTGGATGACTGCCCAGAGAGCTGCTGTGAGCCTAGCTGCTGTGCCCCCAGCTGCTGCCAGCCCAGCTGCTGTGCTCCCAGCTGCTGTGCCCCAGCCCCCTGCCTGACCCTCATCTGCACCCCAGTGAGCTGTGGGTCCAGCCCCTGCTGCCAATCTGTCTGTGCTAGCTCCTGTGAACCCTCATGCTGCCAGCAGTCTAGCTGCCAGCCCTCATGCTGCACCTGCTCTCCTTGCCAGCCATCCTGTTGCATGACCCTGTGCTGCAAGCCTGTCTGCTGCACACCCATCTGCTCTGGATCCTCCTCATGCTGCCAATCCTCCTGCTGTGTGCCTGTCTGCTGCAAGCCTGTCTGCTGCAAGCCCTGCTCCAGCGTGTCCCTGCTCTGCCGCCCTGTGTGCAGACCTGCCTGCTGTGTGCCCAGCTCCTCCTGCTGTGCCTCGTCCTGCCAGCCCAGCTGCTGCAAGCCCTGCTCCAGCATGTCCCTGCTCTGCAGCCCTGTCTGCTCCCGCCAGGCCTGCTGTGGTCTCTCTAGCTGCTGCTGACCTGTCCTGTGGGGGCGCCAGAGCTCAGCTCCTTCCTTCCTTCTCTCACAGTGCTGTAGGGGTTGGTTGCAGCATCAGCTTTGGCACCAGTATAGCATAACTCCGTGATGTCACATCCCACCAGCTGGTGCCCACCCTCCCACCTGCAGCTTCCTATAAAGGCCTGGTAGCACTCCAAATCCCTAGCATGCCTCTGCTTTCCCCAATGCATGTCTTGCCCTGCCATTAATAAACTTCTCTTCCTGGCCTTTGAGTGTCCCTCTTCCTGCCTCATGCAAGGGTCAAGGATATTCTGAGAGCATTTCCAGGTGACCCTCGGGATTTGGACTGTCTCGCCTCTGTCTGAAGTCCCCAGTGGAGTGTGGCTGGTGGCTGGCAGCCTGATAAGTCCCTGGCAAGAGAACCCTGCATCTCCAAGTCTCACTACCCTTGGTTGATTGTGACTGTTCAGAGACAGGAGGGGGGCAGCTGGGATGTGGTATAACCAAAGCATAGTGCATCCTGCGCAGTCCCCTGTAGTGCTTTATTCAAGTGTCCCAACCCACCAAGAGCACAGCCTGGGGGTGGGGGAAGGGTAACAAGGAGAAAGAAGCCAAATGGCAGACGTTCTTTGTCCACTCTCTGTTCTCTCTCTCTCTCTCTCTCTCTCTCTCTCTCTCTCTCTCTCTCTCTGTTCTCTCTCTCTCTCTCTGTTCTCTCTCTCTCTCTCTCTGTTCTCTCTCTCTCTCTCTCTCTCTCTCTCTCTGTTCTCTCTCTCTCTCTCTCTCTCTCTCTCTCTCTCTCTCTTCCACCCCCTTGGGCCAATCTGGAAGTCCCCCACATTTCCAGAGCCGCAAGCATGCCATGCCCTCTTGGCCACAGCCACATTCTGGTCTTCTGTCCCTCTCCACCCTCACACCAGCATCCTCTGAGCCCTGAGCCCTACTCTGCCCGTGCAGGAGAGAGCGGGGTGGAAGTGAGCAGGTTTCCAGGTGGTAATCCCAGGAAATTGAGAACCCTAACACCCCAGGGGCCTCTAACCTCCAACAGGCCTGGACTGTGCCCAGTGTGGAAAAGGCTCCTTGGGAACTCTGCTCCTGCCCACACACCAAGCTTTCCTGCCTTCCAAGGCTGTGAAGACAGGTGGCACCCTGTCTCTGCCCTCCCACTCTCCTGGGGACCTTCCTGTCAAAGAGAGAAAAGAGAAGTCGGTTCCCACTAGGAGCCAGCAGCCTCCTGGGAGTTCACTCACCAGGTATGTGGAACGTCCTCTCTCTATGACTGAACCCCCACCCCAGCCTATCCTCTGCCATGTCTGAGACCAGTGACCTGGGGTCCCTGAGCGCCATACTGCTGGCCACCTGCTGGAGAGTCAGAAAATCCCCAGAACACAGACTGCTAGACCCCACAGGGACAGCTGACACCAGACCCCCATCTTGTCACCTCATTTGCACGTTAAGCACCAGAAAACATTTGACAAGAGCAAAGAGGGGCCTCCTTGGGTGGCCTCTAAAGCCAAGAGTGACAACTGGGAATACTCATGGAAGCTTTCCCCCCTCTTCCCATGTGCTGGGCACAGCAGCCCAGGCCAGGGGAAGACAGAATGGAGCGTGCACCTGTGACCCTCATAGACCTTCAGAGTGGCTCAATGCTCAGCACAGAGTAGAACTGCAGGGACGTAAACCTGGGCAAACCCTCACTGGCCTCTCAAGCATCATATGATGTAGCTACATAATATCAGCCTGGTTTTTATGTGCATTTCCTCCCCGGCTCACCATATTTATAACTGGGTCATCTTTTAACGATTCGAAATGTAACTCTAGGGGAGAGGGGGCGGGCTTTATAAATAACCTTTATTATCATGTGCTGGTCGGCCGTGCTCTCCAGGCTCAAGGAACAAGAAGGCACATGTTCGTGACTCATCCCGGCCCCAGAAGCATGGTCGCACTCACGACTCCCAGTCAGGCCTGCACAGGGTCCTTCTGAGGCACACTTACACGCTCACCTGCATGGGGTGGCCCCACATAGGAAGGGGTATTGCTTGGAGTCAGGGGATTTGCACGGTGACAACCGACTTAGCCCCACACAGCTGATGAAGCCCCACATTCAAAGCCATCTCTGTGGGTGGGGCTGCCAGAGAACAGGATCCAGGGATCCAGGGATCCAGGGGCTTCTGTTCTTCTCAGATTCCCGCTGAGTTCCTGTATCAGGGCCCCAGGGCCTTTTCACCCATGGCCTGTGATCTGGCAATTGCTGGGACTCACAGCCAGCCACTGCTTTGTGGTTAGCAAATGACACCATCTATGCAGGCCAGTGATCCAAAACCAGATCACGGGATCAACTCCTGGACATGTCACAGAAAGCAGCAGCCCAGTGCATGCAGGATCCTCACTTTGGCAGCCAAGGAGGAGGTATGCACATGAAACCACAGCCAACCGGCACACTTGTCTGTGGGGTCCCCGTCACCAACTTGCTATCCCCCAGCAGGTCTGGCTACCAGATTTAACCATCTTGCTTCTTTATTCCATAAATTGTGACTTGATAAAGAGAACCTCTTGTTGGGACCCCCTAGGGCAGTGTGCTGTGGTCACTACTGCTCCCAAGTGGCCTCTCTAGAAGAGAAGGAGGCCCACGGTGAGCCCACCCTGAGGAGCTCCAGGCTGAACCCAGGTGTGGGTTGTGGGTGTGTTTGGGGCTGGGCCTGTGTTTCTCCCTCAACTGGGGACAGAGCCAGGCCCGTGGCAGCCCAGAGCTTTGCTAAGTGCAGGTTGGATAGCTCATCTCCATGCCAGGAGCCCGAGGGCCGGGGACTTCATTCCTGAAGCAGGTGCTCGGCCTTCCCCGGCAGCCAAGCAGGTAAGTACATGCGAAGCCTCCATGGCTGCTCTTAGCTCTTTGAAACTTGAAACTCCTCCCACATCTGGCAGCTCAAGAGATGTCTTCTATTGTGACTGTCTGTGCGGTCCCCTCTATTGTATGCCCCTGTCCCCTATAACCCCACCGTCTGTCCATGTCCAGCTCTCTAGGAGGCCAGCATCCTACCAAATGCAGTGACCGGATAGCAGGAAGTCGCATATTCAACTCCATCCCCCCCCCCCCGAGTCCACAATATATGGCCTACCCAGGTCCCCATATGACCACCTTACCTGTGCAGGGCTCCCAGTGTTGGGCGCCACAGCGGGGGGTACCCATAAGCAAAAGTGCCACACACAGCTTCAGCAGGGCAGACATGAGGGGCTCGGGTCCCAAGATCCATCCAGGGGCTCCACTCGCCTGCAGAGGCAGCCACTACTAATTCCCTGCGAAGGGCAGTCTGGGCCCCAGGTGGTCACTGCGATGAGTCCATGTCAGCGTCTGCAGGAGGACAGAGGTGGCCTAGGCAGCAATGACAGCCCCTAGTTGTTCTGCAGTAGCAAAAGGCAGGTGGCCCTGGCAGGCTGGAGTTTCAGCTGCAGGCAAGGGCTTATCTCTCCACTTCCCTGCTGGGCTTGGGTCCCGCGTGCAGGTGACAAGAGTATCAATCTTCAGGACCGGGATTAGTCATTGGCAAAGCTCACCCTCCTGAAGGAGAGACAGAAATAGATCCTTCAGCGGTGCGCACTGAGAACAAACCAGAAAAACTTAGAAAACCAGTTTTTCTTGGGTGCAGAGGGCGGTGGAGTGCTGTCGCAGGGGACTCAGTGCAGGTGACCTTGGCAGACCGGGAGTTAGCGATGGGGACAGGTGCTCTGCCGGTTCACCTCGTGCTCTGCCCTCAGCTGGAGTGGTGTCCCCCAGACGCCTCAGCATTCAGCAGGGGTCAGTCTTAGGTCCTGCAGGACGTCTGGTCCTCTGTCCTGGGCTGGGATCAGGATCAGTTTCAGAGGCGGTGGTGACAGCCGCACGTCTGCCCTGCTGGGACCCACACCGTCCCCAGAAGGGCTGGCTTTGAGGAGGGCTTTTTATCTGGTGCCCAGCCCTCAGAGGGTGTGTGGGTTTGTCAACTGTTGGCTTCAGGAATTCCCCTGTGGGGGGAGCCATCCTTAAAGAGAGCTGTTCCAGAGAAAGGGGTTAGGGTGGCCTGCGGAGGGTGTGCTGCCTGTGTGCTCAGTCCCTGGAGGGAGGCTTTGGGCTCAGCAGGAACCCCTTTCCCAAGCCCCTAAGACACACTATTTTCCCCAGCTTCAGGAGGAATGCCCCAGCTCAGAACCCAGGCAGAACCTGGCTCTGTGTGTGCTTGCAAATGGTAGACCCTGTGTGTGTGTGTGTACATGCACATGTGTGCATGTATGCAAATGGTAGACCCTGTTTATGTATGTGTGTGTGTGCAAATGGTAGACCTTATGTGTGTGTGTGTGCGTGCAAACGGTAAATCCTGTGTATGTATGTGTGTGTGTGCATGAAAATGGTAGACGTTGTGTGTGTATGTGTGTGTGCACATGCAAATGGCAGACCTTGTGTGTGTGTGCACACATGCACGCAAATGGTAGACCCTGTGTATGTATGTGTGCCTGCAAATGGTAGACCCTGTGTGTGTATGTGTGTGTGTGCCTGCAAATGGTAGACCCTGTGTATGTAAGTGTGTGTGTGCCTACAAATGGTAGACCTTGTGTGTGTGTGTGTGTGTGCGCGCGCACGTGCAAATGGTAGACCCTTGTGTATGTATGTGTGTGTGTGTGTGCGTATGCCTGCAAATGGTAGACCGTGTGTGTGTGTGTGTGTGTGTGTGTGTGTGTGTGCGCGAGTGCGTGCAAACGGTAGACCCTGTGTGTGTATCTGTGTGGAGAGCATTTAGGAGAAAGTGGGGGGAGGGGAGTGCCACAAACCAGAAAAGGAGAGAGGACAAAGATGGACGGAGAAGAGAGAAAGAAGTGGGGGAAAGCCCCAGCTCAGCACCCGGGCAATGTCTGACTCAGTGGGTGACAAGAGAGAGAAACGGGCGGAACAAGCAGGGACAGAGAAAGAAGTGAGAGAGTCCTGGAGGGTCTCTGTGCAGGGAACGAGCATCCTGTTCTTCCCTTCTCCCTGGAGACCGGATCCAC